CAGTTTGCAAGGGGACATAAATTGGCAACTGAAATTCTGTTTGAAATACTTTCTTCTATACATTCAGTACAATCTGCATAGGATGGACCATTACATTTTTGACATGTTATATCACAAACTAAAATTAATTTAACAAATCTACCAACACATTTTTGATCAAGGTTTTCAGGATCATATGAATGAGGTTAACAAATACATTCCTTATTAACGACTATTCTATTTGATCCTGGTTTACATGAAATACAGGAATAAAAATCATTGTATTAGCAATCAAAACAAAAGCCAACAGAGCATGATTCGCACATTTATTATAACAAACCATATTTTGGTTTACATACGCAAATACCATCTAATGCGATTCTATCTTCTCCAGCAATGCAAGAAGTACAATAATTTGGATTTGTGTCCAAGCAGGTCTAACAACTTGGATTACAGTATCCTTATATATATTAGCATGTGCCATTTGATTGCAATGCATAGGACGGCAAACAAGCTATACAATTAATTCCTTATGAATCCAATAATATACAATTTTTTATTTAAAAGTTTTATATAATTGCTAGATAATGTTTTAGGTAAATATATTACTTTTACATTATTTAGATTTTTAGTCATAAAAAAATCCTGGATCGCATGAAGTTCATGTTGTAAAATAATATATATTCCCAGAGCTTTGATAATTAACTTACATCGATTAACTTGAGAAGCCACAATTCCAATCCCAATTAATAACAGCGATACATTTCCTTTGATGTAAGCGCTTTCTTTAGAAGATAGCCTGGGAAGCAAGAAGAGCAACTGTATTCGTAATTATTAAACACAGCATATAAACAAGGTTGAATACCTAAATAATAATAATGATCTAAGTACCGTAGCATCGATTATTATAATACTGATATCCTTAGACACAACTGGGTGAATATTTTATAGCATGATTCCAATCTTGGGGTTCACAACTTCTATGAGGATGACAACCTAGACTAGAATGATAAATTACTAAATAAACAATCGGTCTTATTAAAAGCAACATAGCCGTCATGACAACTTGTACAGTTTCCATCCGAATTACAATATAGACAACCATAATGGTTGCACTCTTTAATAAATATATTATTTACATCTCGCAGGCATAGAAGCATAATCATATGCACCGTTCGCTAACTAGCAACCCTGTCCTTTTCCGTAATATGGACGCTTACAAAGTTAGCATTTATATGACCCTTTTTAAAAGGACATTATCAAACAGAACTAATTCATATTATCATTGAAATCTAATGTATAAATTTACTTACTTTGGCAATAAAATTTATAATGTCCATCAGAAAGCAACTCCATCACCAATGTTAAATAATAATTTTGGAATCCACATGAAAAAATATTATCCACTTAAGCTAGATTCCAATACAATCCTTTTTAGTAAGGTTAGAATCTGGGATGGCATAAATGTTATGTACCATTTGCCTCAATTCTTACTTCTATCTCAGTTACACCTTTGCAAATCCTGGCGTAAGCTATGATAGTGGCAAAATATTTACAAACGACATTTCTATGTGGATGCATCTCAATACACTTATGTATGTAATTTCAGGACATTTACGATAAAAAACTTCCAAAATTTTAACGCCAAGAATAATAATCTCTCCACCCAACTACTTGTGTGATAAGTTGAAATACAACTAACCACATAATTCATGTTTATTTATTTTATCATACTTCATAATCATCAAAATTAATTAAATAGTTGGGAAGTTTAGTCTAAAAATTAAAATATTATACCAATGTTATGAATATTTTATATCATTTCTTCATAATTTTTCTTGCTAAAGCTTCTATTTGTGATAAGTCGAAGGAGTGGGAAGTTGGTTACTTAGTAAGAACGAATTACAATGACAAATCGGAAAGTTTTTAACATACTTGCTAGTTATTGCCTAAAAGCTCCCTATATTATGAAGAATGTGTCAGAAATGTTAGATAAAGTCTTAGTACTGTTTATAAATAAATTAATACTTATTTTTATTTTGGGATAATAACTAATAACCATTTGTTAGAGATTTAGAAACGATTTCCACCAAGTTTGTAGAGGCTTGTAATTTGTTCCTTTTTTTTGTCCTTCAAAGGAAATCTCTCTTACAATGGAGAATCAAATTTGTAATAAAGGAGGATTGAAAGAAAGCACTAATGTGAATAAAAACGTTAATTATCATTAAGATGAAGGAGGAAATTTTTATATCGATTATCATAAGGTTTATGGGCTTATAGTTTACCATTTATAACTAAACGTTTTCGAGGTCAAATAATTGAATTACTAATGAATCACTGAAGAAGGATAATGATTGAATTGATATAAAATTTGAACTTATATAAATAATGAAGGCAAATAATATTTTTTTTAATCATAAATATTAATATTGTGTTATGTAGTATATAAGCGAGAGGTTTTTCAATAACTATCAAGTAAGTTTTTAGAGCTTTAATCACAAATTATAAGATTTAGAAATATAGTAGCTAAATAATTTATTTTATTGAGTTGTTTATTGATACAGATTTTACATTATAAATGAATAGCATCATATAGATAATTTTAATATCGTGTAGAACAATCAGAAATAATTAGTTAAATCCTCATTTAAAAATAAATATTTATTAAATTAGTAATTCAAATAAAAAGGGCAAATTCAGACTATAAGAGAAGTATATTTAAACAATCCTTGAATTACTTTTTTTCAATTATTAACCAAAGAAAAAGGTAAAACTATTCTAAAAGAAAAATACAAAAAATTGAGTTCAATCAAAATTATGTAATTAATTTATTTATTATATTAACAACACCTTTTGATTATCTAATCAAATTGATTGTTAATTCTTTCGAAGCATGTATTAAATTTTGAAGGAATTATTTGTAACGCATTATGATTTTTCACATATTTTTCAGCAAGGAAGAATAAAATTAACTCTGTCTTTTGAATTACTATGAACATGATACAAAATTATGCTTAATATGATTAAAGAGGATACCTTCGAAATTGGACCTTGTACTATTACCAATCTATTATAAAAATTGGTCTACTTGAGTAATTAATATTACAGCTTAACCCTAAGATAAAGGAGATAATGGAGAAGGCTGGGAAACAAAAACTAAAACAACCATAACAAGATTA